CTTCTGCTTCTGTGTCTGCGTTTGCTTCTACTTCTGCTTCTGCTTCAGCTCCTGTTTCCATTTCTGCTTCTGTTTCTTTTCTGCTTCCCTTTCTGCGTCTGCGTTTGCTTCTACTTCTGTTTCTGTTACTGTTTCTATTTCAGCTTCAGCCTCTGTTTCTGCTTCAGCTTCAATTTCCGTTTGCATTTCCGTTTCTGTTTATCCTTCTGCCTATTTCCGATCAGGCCAGAAGCCAGATAAACCGAGGGAACATGTGGGCCAACGAGGCGATAGCGAGAGGAAAGACGGCGAAAGGAGCGCAAAAAGAGTGTGTATCATCGTAAGCACACTGGCCGGCGAGGTGATGCTAAAACAACTCGGCAAGCTGTACCAGCCAAAAGGCTCTCTGGAGGCTTGTCTGGCTGGAGCCAGAAGTCTCGAGGAAAGACGTCGTAAAAGAGTGGCAAACGGTGAGAATGACGATTGTGATGGGTGTGACGATTGTGACGATTGTGACGGGTGTGATGTGGTGACGATTGTGAAGTTTGTGATGGGTGTCAAGGGTGTGATGATTGTGACGGGTGTGACGCGTGTGACGATTGTGACGGGTGTGATGGGTGTAACGAGTGGGACGGGTGTGATGGGTGTGACGAGTGGGACGATTGTGACGGGTGCGACGAGTGGGACAAGTGTGACGATTGTGATGGGTGTGACGAGTGGGACGGGTGTGACGATTGTGACGAGGGCTTTGAGGGCTTGAGGGACCGGATGGCCCTGGAGATGAAATGGGAAACGGCACCAAACCCACCCACCCACTCGCATACACACAAACACACACACACACACACACACACATGGGGTATTGTGGACAAACGCAGCAGCAAGGAGGGGTGGTGTAAAGTGAAAGAGGAGGAATGTCACAATCGGCGCTGCCTGTCGGCGCCAATTGGCAACGCCGAGGCTGATCGAGAGGATGGCAACGGCAGACGACGCTGTACGAAAAAGCTCGGACCAGGTCAGGCCGGAAAGGACACCGTCTCGCCGGTTGCCGCCGGAGCTAATGGAGGAGTGGCGATGCACATGTTCGAGCTGATTTAGCCTTAAAAGTGGCCAACTTGTCAGAAAACCGGTCACGAGGCGAGCGGTTTGATGGGACCAAGAGACGCTGAAATATCGGGTTCAAGCCCAACTCGTTCCCATTGCCATACACACACACACACACACACACACACACACGCAAATACACAAACA